TATGTGGATGACCTTCAACATTCGTATGTAAATCAAGATCATATTCAATACGAAATTTTTTTGGTTCTTTTCTTGTTTTGAAAAAAATATCAATTGGCTAAACATACAAAAAAAAAATATATCATCCAATATAAAAATCAAACGTTAAAAAGTAAAAAAAATTTACCAAATGAAAACCAGCATAACCAGTTTCTCTGATAGCAAATGGTGTTGATCTAAATTCTAAATAAGATTTATGAAATGAATATATTTTTGTTAATGATAAATATATATTCTAACCTCGTCTATGATCGGGATATTCTGGATGAAGATAAAATATACAACGTTGAATAAGACAATTTAAATCACCATGAACATCAGCAGAACGTAAATAAACTGTCCAATCATGTGTACGTGGTGGATTATGAATTGTTGTTGGTTCTGGTCGAATAATTGATACATGTCCAACTTCGAAATCAATTTCAACAATCTATTTACATGTTAATCGTTTAGACATACATATAAATATCCATATGGTTTACAGACGAAATTAAAATCAACAGTAATTTAAAACTTCCCTGAGGGCAACTTTAAAACAATGGGATGTACGTCTAGGCCTGGGTGTGTATGTTTGGGTGAATCAAGAATCCACATGTGTACCCACACTGATATTCTCTTCTTTTAATCGGCACAATAGCAGATTAAGGTTTTAATTTTCCCTAAGGAAAATCGTACATTGCCCCGCATTTCAATTTTCCCTAAAAAATATATCTATATAAATTAATAACAAACCTCGCCAGTATCATCATGGTTGGTCATTTCGAACTTTTTATTCTTCCTGATCTAAAAATGAATTTTGATACTACTGAGTATTGATAGTTGTTTGTAGGTGAAAGGTAAGTGTAGGAAGAAAAATGACAAAAAGAAAAACTACAGAAGCATAAGCATCGCACCTCATCGATGTAAATCAATATAAATAATGGACAACCAATGAGTTTTTCTTAAATTACTGTTTTATTTCGAAAAAATAATTAATTGGTTTTATTTTGGTTTTTGTCTTAATTTTATAGAATAGGCTACATAATAATAATTATTTGTAACCAAATAATTTATTTGATTTGACTCATCGTTGTTGACATCTTATCACATATCAATGTCATGTGACATGAAACAGAATCGAAAGAAACTTCGACTACCACAGTGAATTGAATAGAAAAATAGATTTGTGGAAATGAGACCTCTCTAGAAACTTTTCTACCAGCAAGCATTAGATTGATTGTCGGTATAATTGGTTAGTTGCTTACAATCTCTTTCGAATAAAGTTAATGACCTACAAGATGACCATCGTGTCAGGCTCTATTGAAGTAAACAGCATCTAAAAGGGGAATTCAGGTGTATTGGATAGAAATTTATTCTCGATGCTCTTTCTCCCTCATTACAGACCATCATCAACACTTAGAAACACTTTCCATCCCTTTCACAGACTATCACAGACCTTGTTGATACTCGATCAAATATTGTACATCCATCAAGATTTTTATAATATATAAACTACTTCGTTATGACATTTTCGAACAGCAAAGTAAAAGTATGATGAAGAAATGTCTGTGAAAAAGTTTATACAATAACAGTAGTTGTTACATGCGTCATTTGTAAAGATTGATTTCGCATGTCTCAGTTTGTTTCAAAAATTCTTTTTTTTTTCCAACTTCTTTCAATGTTTTCTTTTGCCACATGGCTGCAAAAACAATTCAAGCGAGTAATATGAGTCATTACTGGACGTTTATTTTTCGTAGTAATAGTAGAGTAAAACAAGACAGCAAAACATGAGTCAAAAAATATTTTGTTGATTCTTGGATACATGAGCGACAATATTTTGTATACGTTTTTGTTTCTATGAAAAAGAAAAGAGCACAATCCGTACGGGATTAAAACTTAAAACGTGATGGAGATAAGGGATGTGCAATTCCAGTGAAAATTCTGAAAAACTGACAGTTAGTATACTATGACACTAACGTTCACTGACTACACTGTCTGTATGTATCAATGTACACTGCAGCACTAAAAATCACGCGATATCGATTGTATCAAAATATGCACAGTTTCAGCTTTTTATTCATATTCATCAATGATAACTAGTTAGGTAAACCTATTTACCATTTCCAAAAATAACATAAATTTAGGTGATCTATAATGTCGAATAATAATTCTAACTTCAGACAAATGTGTCATATTGTATTTGTAGTTTTAGTCGCTGCTTTTGAATTATTACAGAAATTGCGTAACACTTGCTTCACTATCATAATGCTTTTTTAAAACATGATTGTAAATGAGAGTTTAAGTACATGACGAGAAAACTAATCCCATCTATTCTAGCTTACTTCAAAGATCGGGATAAATATATCGAAGTTCTTTTAACCTACTGACAGAATGTGACAGAAACTCCGATGTCTTTAATGTTCTAGCGGGTTTTCCAACATGCTTGTTTTTGATCCTGCCATATAGACGATAAGGTTTTTCCAAGATGAAAAATGCCAAAGCTGTCGTTTACAACAGTTTGACTATGTCAAGTCTAGCATAGACATGTGTCACAAGCATATTATTTTGAGTTTATTTTATATAAGTGTGTCTGACACTAAAGACCAAATGCATCATCGTACTCTACTGATATTCAAATCTTGAAATACAATAAAGTATTTGGTTTTTAATGTTAGATAAACTTATAAAAAACGAACTCAAACGAATATGCTTGTAACACAAAAGCTGATTGTAGATTTGAAATAGGTAAGAAACTCTGAAGAATACTTTTGGCATACTCTGGACGAACGACGAAGTATGGAGTTCTCACCTTTTCTACATTAAATTCGTCACAATAGTTAAAGTAGCTCGATCGTGTTTAATATTTAATACAATAGAGATTATACTGCAAACTATTTCTTCACCATCTATTTCTATCATTTTTTTTTCTTTTGAGATTTATCGATGAACGGAAAATTTCATAGGACTACAAATTCTATATTAGATTTGCACACTAATGAACTGTTCTTCAGACATGCGTAGAAATGCTAAATCAGATATATATGAACGGTGGGTCTAACAATATGTTACACTTTCTTACATCTTATGTCTCTGCGAAAAACATGGTATAAATAATACGAAATAAAAATAAAGATGCAATAAAAATACAATGACGAACAATGATTCCATTTTAATGTTCCAATAATATAACTTGATATCAAAGTGACTTGATAAAATATATTAAGCGTATTTTGATGAATACTCAATTAATAGAAATGTTCTAATGCATGTTACCTCATATAAATAATCATTGATATAAGTAAAACTGGTTCGATATGCAAAAAAGAAGCACATCTATGATCAATTTTTTCAGTAAAAACACCATGTAAACATTCGAAAAAATCTATACTGATCATTGACCGTTATCGGTTGCAATATTGATATGACCTACCTTGAACAATAAAGCAACACGATGATCAATATATAGTACGTCAGATGTTTACCATTGCCCACGAATCAATGTAACTTCACAAACAATAATAGTTTTTTGATAGAAATGTGCGGTATTTATATCTGATGAATTAGGAGAAAAAGAAACATGTGTATTCAATTTCATTGAAATCTTTGTGATTTATTGAACTATGTATCCATGATAGGACCTAAAGAGATGTAGTGCTGATTACCAGGAACTTTTTTATGAAGAAAGAAAGAAAGTACAAACATATAGCAATGTAAAACAATGACCACAGATAACATGAGTCATGAACGATGATGTATAGAATTGAATCACCATGGTATATGAATAGAATATGTAGACCATCGACACATAAGTAACTTAAAATGTGTAGAACAGAACAGAATTATACAAATATGGTGTTGTTGGAGAGAAGGCTCGAGCTTAATACTAATTTTCGAGAAACAAATGTGTCACTACTCTTTTTTGGTACATATAATGTCACTTGTCAATTATGCAAGTCAAAGAGTGACATAAAAAGATAACAGATCGCAGGACAGAAAATAAAAGAAAAGATACGACGTATAATTGATGAACATAGTGAAATAATAATTATTAATTCACTAGGAGAATGAAATTCGGAATAGATTCAGTTTTAAGAAAAAAACTCTAAGAAATTTTAATGCTCTTATTCAATAAAAACTGTCTGTAATTTCATGTTTATATTTGATTGATTTCAAAGTATTCTAATGTAAATTGTAATCCATGGAAATGAAAAGCGGTGTGTCAGTGTTCCATCGATATTTATGTGCTCAGTGTTGACTAAGCATTGATCTCTCAGTGACTGCATCAGTATTGTAGCGCACGCCGATCTGTGAAATCACTTTAGTCGGTGTATTAGAGAGTTAATATGTAAGCCGTCAGTGAACAGTTTATTGACACAGCACATTTCTAATGGAGCTACTTATTTGGTGAATGAAGAAACTCACGAGCATATGTTTGAAATTTTGACTTATTACCTTGGGTAAGGTCTTTTATGGATTTTTCTAGTCGACTTAGGAGACTCTAGTTGAACGAAATATATACATGGAAACAATTGGGCAGGAACAAGTCTTAATCAGTTGGTTCAATGAATCACAAAAAAAGACAAAAGAATTTCCTCAGGAAATATTAGAAACCATGATAAAGAGATTTTGAGAGATGTTGCGAGCTATACAACGAGACGGACCATATTTATTTTTCTAGATACAGTTTTTTTTTTGTAGCACTTGTCATACTCCATCTACTAAAAAAATTAGCTTTTCATTTTCTAAAATGAACTGTGCAGTGCAACATTTTTCTAAAAACTTTTGTATCGGTTATTAGTTTTTATTGATGTTTTAACAAATGAAGAAAAAACATTTCTTATTTAGATCTACGAAAAGCTATTGTAATTTCTTCAAAAGTACGTTTTTTCGTTTCTGGCATATATTTCCATAGAAATAAGAAAGCGAATGTCGTCAATACGGCAAATGGAATAAACGAATAATCAGATATTTTATCATGTTCCTAAAAATAGAAAATAATTGTAAAAATATTGTTAAGACAAAAAGAAATAAATTTAATTTACTGCTAATAGCGGAAATAGAAGTCCAACAATAAAATTTGACATCCAATTAGTTACGACGGCAACACTTGTAGCTGCTGGACGAGCACCTTGTGCAAAGATTTCTGGAAGAATAACCCATGGCACAGAACCAGGTCCAATAGCAAAGAATACAACAAATATATAAACAAATGCAATTGAAAGAAATTTCAACCACGGTATATGATGCTAATAAAAAGAAAACAATTTTACGAGAATAATCTTTTCGAATAGATCTACCGTTAAACTAAAAGTAATTGTAAGTAAAAGACTACATAACCATGTACCAAAAAGACCAAAAAGATGAAGTGTTCGTCGACCAGCTCGATCCATCAGTGTACCAGACACTAAAGTAATAAGTACTAGTGTGACACCGACACCAATTGTCGCATATGGACCAATACTACCAAGATTTGCATGTTTAAATAAAGCAGTTGAATAGTACATGATAGCATTTATACCACAAAAACGCATAGAAAAATGAACAACAATAGCTACAGCAATAGGTAATCTAAAGATTAACTAAGGTAATATTATTTATAATTTATAGAACATAAATTTATACCGAAATACTTGTCGAGTAAATAATTCTTTTATTGATATATGAGATTCACCTTTTAAATGGTCAGCTTCTTGTTTCATTTCATTTACTTCATCTTCAATATCATATCGTTGTCGTAATGCACTTAATGCTTGTCGAGCACCTTGTTCATCACCACGATTCATTAATAAAAATCGTGGACTTTCATAACAAAATTGAAGAAGCAGAAATTGAGTCACACTTGGAACAGCTGCCAAGACCATAATTAGAGGCCATCGTGAATCAGTTCCAAGTAGAGCAGGTGTTGAAAATATTTCAGCTGACATAAGACCCGAATAGGCCGAAAAACCCGTTAATGATCCAATCATACCTCGAATACGTCTAGGACTTACTTCACTTAAATACATCGTACATAGACCAGTATATAAACCACATTCAATTCCAATTATTAAACGACCAATAATAAGTAATTCAGGCGAATGAATAAATTTTGATACAGCTAAATATATATATATATATATTTAACTTTACTAAAAATAAATAAATTTAAACTTACACATAAATGTTGCTGCTATTATTCCAAGTAAATTTGCTCTAAGAAGACCACCTCGTCGGCCATATCGACGACTTACGAAACTTGCTGTAAAAGCACCTATTGCACCACCAATAGCAAATATTGCTACAGTAGTACTCCATATAAGAGTAAGTGCATATTTTGAAAGTGTATATCCTGTTCGATGATAATATGACTCAATAATCCATGATTTAATTGGTTCTTGTACATTATTAAGACAACCGGTATTCCAACCAAATGAAACTACACCTGAACCAGTAGCCACTGCTGTAAGAATTAATTCTTTAGTGTATATCTATTGATAATAAATATTTTTAGAAAATTCATATAATAATTGTTCCATAGTTAAGTTACCTTAGTACCTGCCATAGATACAAAATTTGAATGTAATAAAAACAAGATTCAATGTGAAATATCTGTGTCATGTCAGCATGTTAGAGTAAAAATAGAGATAAGAAGACATCTATTACGAAGTCTATGATGATAACGCAAATGAAAATATATTGTTTTATTTCGAATGCTCTGAGTTTTCGCCTTTCAAAATAGCTTAAGTTAGGATCTAATTGTTACACAAAGTATAAGTTTTTATCATAATTTAATTGATCTTAAGTACATCACCTACCTCTTTTTAGACTAAAAACTTGATTTTGAGCTGGACAGTAGAGGGCTGCAGGGTGCAGTATGTTCGTAACCTGTAACCTGCCCTGTAAAAATTCTGCAACCTAATCCTGTCCTGCCCTGTGAATTTTTTCGCGTACCCTGCCCTGTCCTGCCCTGAGACTTTTTTTCATAACCTGTAACCTGCCCTGCCCTGCCCTGCTATATTTGATATTACAAAAAAATTCATAACTTTTCATCGACTTCGTATATCAATTCTTCTACTTTATGTTGTATTTTGCTTCGATATTCTTCTTCGTATAAAATTTTTCAAAAGATGTCTATAATGTTTGATTCGATAAATTAATAGCAGGTTAACAGGTTATGACAGGGCTGTCCTGTAACCTGCCCTGTAAAAATTTCGTAACCTGACCATGCCCTGCCCTGCTACTTTTGCAACCTGCCCTGTCCTGTCCTGGCAGGGCAGGGCAGGGCAGGACAGGTTATGGGCACCCTGCAGGGCTCTACTGGACAGAAGGTTTGATAACCTCAGATGCTATGTGCAATTAGAGATGTCTTTCAATCTTAAATAGGTTACTGCCACAGAGTTATTGAATTTTAGAAATTATTGTTTCAAAATAATTCTATTGAAATTCTTTTCTTTTATTGAGTGTTACGCAAAACATCAGTTTTCTTAATCCTGACTGTTTATCACTTCGTTCTGATTTTGTCCGATTGGACGGAAAACTTTATCACAGATATTTGAAAGTATCCTTCAGAAGTAGAATCAAGTATTTTCATTTTAGACGTTTCTGTTCGGATTTGTAGAGTTCTAAAAATCAATCCCACCGTATTTGACTCGTGAAAAAACCATATGTTCGAAAATGTTCACAAATACTTCTGAAATATAGTCTGAGGTACTTCCAAAAACATTTTTCAATCGAATTTGATTAAGCTTGATCACAGTCATAGTATGCCAATATGTGGTGTTCTATAGAAGAGCAGAATTTTCTCATAGTCCTCTTAAAAATTTTTCTCCGAAACCAAGTACCTTCTGACTTCACGTGATCTATCTGTGATGAAAGTTTCACTCTTCTCAGTTAATCCCTCTTCAAGAACTAGAAGCGGTCAAAAAAGATAGAGAGTGTACTTTTAAATAATTGCTGCTAGCAAAGAGTAGAAGATAGTACTGATTGAGAAAAGTGTGCGAAGAATACAAATTTTCGGTATCAACTTCAGCCGCAGTCCCCATGATCAGAACTGAGATGAAGATCAGATTATATTCACCAGAGTCATGACTGACACTACAAAAGCTGGAATTCATACATCTCTATTAAAGCCTAACAAGGAAATATTAAAGAAATAGTGACGTATGTTTACGTTTTCGAAATTGCTAACACACGAAACATTAATTTCTAGACATATCTTTTCAATACCGATTCATAACAAAAGATCTTCTGAGAATTTTCTAGACTTATAACTTTATTTATTTCTATGAATGTTACGGAGATTCTCATAATTTCCTGGGAATTTTCGAAGCATCCTTTATTATTTCCTTCGAATTTCTTTTTTTTTATGGTTCAATAATTATGGAAATTCGCTAGAAATTACTTTATTCTGTATTAGTAATCTGAGAAATTTTATGTTCATAGATGTATGAACACTGCTGAACTGCTGACTATCGAAAATTGTGAAAAATCAAATGAAATAAAACGAAATCAAATGATTATATTATATCAGATTTTACAATGATTCAATTTGAAATCTTATTCAAATTTAGTATTGTTAACTGAATTTTGAACAATATTTTTATTTTGCAAAGGCTATGAAAGTTGTAGCAGTATTTGTAAATATTTTGAAATCAAATCGAATTCAATAAATACAACGATGGATAACTTTGTGGCTATTTCCAACAAAATTTCAACGTATAATCTTCATGCAAAACTCAATATTATCGTTACATATTCTTTTGAATGCTTTCTAGTTTTTTTTTGAATAACTGAATACAAACTAACAGTCTTGTAAATGTTCCATATAATTAATTATCATAAAATCTTGTATTGAATTATATTGACATGCAAACATAGGGAAAATCAGTTGACTATTAATTCTTCTGATTATTTCAGTATTTCGTCGAGGCATTGAATCTTTTTATGTACATATCAAGGCAATTTTTACAAAGATATATACATTTTTAACGATAATAAATATTATTATAAATAGAACAGATCAGTTTCGTTTCACAAAGCTTTCAGACAAACTCTCTTCAGTAGATTTATTATTAAAATCTAATATTTCTTCATTATTTCTAATATAAATATGAGATATTTTTCTTTCTTGCTGTATGTAGAAAGTGACCGAAAAGCACGAATCGATGAGTATAAAGCATGTCTTAGCACAACAAATGACTGATAAGTGCAATGAATTTCTTAGTTTGTATCATCATACACTTGTTATCTATCGAGTATGTTTTTTTTTTCGTTTGTCATGATATACGCATAAAGCAAGCATGATAATACATGTGTGCAAACTTATATCTAATAAAACTATGATAGAAAAGTAAGGCTTGATGGTTGCAATATTGTACTTTTTGAACTTATATAGAAAAAAGAAACAAGAAAAAATGTCGCTAGTATTGCAATCACTTTCAATCAAGAGGACAACATTTCATTTTCTATGATGAAATGCAGTTCAGCTTTCTACCATCAATCAAATATTTATTTCAATGACGTAATAACCATGATTAGTCGTCAATAAGATTAGTTATTACGTCAAAAAAAATAATGTCACTCCTACATTATTATTATTATTATTTTTTAAGATGGTTGACTGCACGAAGTGCAGCAACAGCTAATTTATTGTTTTTCAGCCGCTTAGTTGTCATGGCAATTTCTTTTTTTACTCGATGCATTAGTCACAATTTACGCCATTAATTTTTTTTCAGTATCTGAGCATCACTTTGTATTGGAAAAAAAAAGCTTGTTGAGATCGTAAGAATATGATGAGTGCACAACTGAAATCTGTTCGATCTCAAAATTTCATCGCATGCAGAAAATATAAATAAACATAAAATGATAATTAACAGCTGATAATTTACTTGTATAGCAATGCATGATTCAATCTTAGAGTCACTATTCATATCTTAGATACTAATATGCAAAGAACATTAAGTATCGTCTAGTATGATTTAAATCTGTTCACGATGAAGTTTCACACGTCTAGAAAAAAAATTCTTCACGACTCATACATCGATCAAATAAAAGAGACGATACTAATCAATTAATAGTAAAAAGAAGTAGAGGATTAATGAGAAATTATTTTTTCATTTATATTTAGACATTAGAATCGTGCCTATAACATGCTAAAAAAGAATTAATATTAAGATCTATTTTAACAAGAAGAAATATTAACATGCTTGGGACACGTATAAACAACCGCCTACTCTGAATGATAGTCTAATTCTTATTCTATTTATGTTCATCAACGATAGTGCACACTTGTTTAAATCGAAATTCATTTCCATGGAGGACAAATTATTTAATAGGCAAATCATTCATATCGATGTGCATTGATTTCATTCTTTTACATACAAAAGTTTACAAGAATATCACGAGGAAAACATATGTGACAGATGACATACATTATTAGGAAAAGAATGCATTATTGTAAAACAAAGCAGATTTGATCTTGATTTTACATTAAAAAAATGCTCAATCATGAAATGATTTCTTTATTGTAACAGATGAAAGTGAAAATGATATTAAATATGTAATCGTGAAATAATAAATCAATATGTTAAGTTGAAAAATGAATTAAATTACAGAAGTCACCATATTTAGTTTATGAAACAATATCAAATTCGATATAATGAGTAGGAAGAGAAACTCCAAGATTATTATCGAATATTTATTGAGTTTCACATAGTTCATGAGGATAATATTGACTATACTATCATTGTTGATTATGTTCTATATAATATGCAAGCAAATATAATATAATACTATTTAATAAAAGCATATTTTCAACTTAAAATAAATGTTTTTTTTCATCTTACAATGAAAGGTCCTATAGTGTAAGTTAAGTGAATTGATCATATTCAGGATAGATGAATGTTTTCACTGCCAAAGTAATTAATTTAAAATATGAGCTCCGTGTAGCATGCACAGAATGAGATATTCGAATCTCAAAAGTATGCACAGTCTATGTCATGCGGTGACATTTTAAGTTTTCAGCATCATTGAATTTTCTTTTTAGTTATGATTGAATAGAGCCTGACAAGCTACATCAGATAAAATCATATCGCATTAGTTCAACAGTGATTTTACAACAGTCAGATTTTCGTGTCTATACCCTTTTTATATTCCATGAAACTTCTTTGTTGTAGAAAAAAAATAGTACACTAGACAAAGAAAATTCATTGATTAGAGTCTAACTTCTATCATGTAGACAGGTGAAAGAATAATGAAATCTACAATTTACGTTTAATTGACTCAAACCAAGTTATTTAAGAGAGATACATTTATTTATTATTTAAAAAACTTTATTTTTTTAAATTTTATTAACACATTGCATTTGTTTTTGTAAGTTGTGACATAGTATGATGATTCTAAAGTATAAAGAAGTTCATTCAGTTCATAATTTTGTTCATTGTGATTGATTATTCCAGGCTATCAGACATATTTGTCTCACTGAATTATTTTTCCTACATGTTTTACATAATCATTCATTGATATTAGCATAGGTTCAAAGATCTATATTTTATTTTATTTATAACCATCAAACGACAACAGCATATTAAAAGCATAATTATCTAAGTAGGAAAAAAAACATAAAGGAACTCTGAATAAGAGAAATCTGTTGCGTCAATGCAAAAGATAATTATATATTTTTATTTTGAATGGTGATTATTGGATGCTGATGCTTGATGATGAACTTGACCATGATGACCTCTGTTCTGACCATGAATATTATGCGGCTCTGGAGTGTCTTTAACAGCATGATATATAGCTGCTGCAGTTAGTAGAGATACAACAAAACCTTGTGCATAAACACGAGTACGAATCCTATAAAAAAAAACGAAATTTTCAAAATTATACAAAATTTTAAGTTTTGCTTACCAGTAGGTGGATGTAGGCTTATTTCGATCTCGTCTATTGAAACCAATTATAGCTCCAAGTACGATCAAACCAAATCCAGTCATACCTTTATAAAAAAAAAAAATTTAATATTAGTTAGAATAAAAGTAGATAAAAATTTTAACTAACCAATAGGTACAACTGGATCTTGTTTGAACTTACGCCAGAATTTCGATTCAGTGGTGTGTTCAGCACTTTCAAAATCATTTAGACTTTGACTTTGTTTTGGCACCGGAGGATTATTTAAATTTGACATATTTTATCTAAAATGAAATTTTTGGTTTTCACAAACAACTAATTACACATAATACATATAAATATGACTTAGAATATAATTATTATTTTTTCAACAAAAAGATATATATATATATATATTACGAGACATTATTTTGTAAAAGATGATTAACAACAATATCTTTATTTCCTCCATTTTTATCCATTAACTCAATAATTATTTGACGATCAATTGCAGGAAACATTTCTTCAATTGTTCGTATGTCATCTGACGAATACATTGGTGTTGATTCAATAATACTATTCGATTGGGATGATGTTGATGAAGAACCAGTTGAGCTATTTATAAGACTTGAATTTTCTATTGCCGGTGGATTATCTGATATCATTGGCTATATAAACCAAAAAAAAAAGATATAGAATAAGATTAAAAAGTAAATATCATCAAGGACAGGTTGATTAATCAATTTTATCAAAGTTTTTAGTAGCCTTCTTGATTGATACAAAGGTCGAAGGTACAAACAGAAAAAAAAATTTGGGTACAGAAAATAAATGCCAGATAACACGATGTTATATAAAGAATAAAAACAACAAGGGATTATTATTAAATTAGAGAAAGCAATGCCAATAGTAAAAATAGAGAAAATGAAATAATCCAGACATCCGAATAAATAAACGAACACAGAAGAATTTTTTCCTTCTATAGGATCTAAATATATGATTTTAGCTGTATATTTACCGATAAACTCATAATAATAAGAATATCTCCTTGATTTTCATTTTCATTTGTTTCTCGTCCCATTAATGGATACCAATGTTGATGTGTTCGACCATCGATAACTTCATGTGGAATTTCAATGTCACATTCTCCAATAAAACTATCTTCTGTAAAACTACGCTAAAATATTTTCATAAGAAAATTATTTTTATTACAAAAAAAATAATAATAATAAAATTCATTTACTTGATCATATAATTCGATATGAATTTTATCCATTCCTTTGAATAGATCACTAGAAAAAAAAATAATACACTCAATGAAATTTAATAAAAAAAATAAAAAGTTATTTATACATTCGATATGATGCATTCCATTGTGGATTTTTACCACCACCAGACGCTGTTAGTGTTTCATGCGATATAGGTCCAATTTGAAAACGAACATATGGATCCATTCGAAGAAGACCTAATGGACCAGAATTTTTTATTAATTTAGCCTGAAAAAAGAAAAGATCATGATTTTTGTTTTATTACAATAGATAAATAATTACTTCAGCAATAGTCACAGTAAAATAACCAAGAAAATTTGGATTTTCCTCAAGTTCATGTTGAAAAATAGGTGGCTCATAAATTTGTGATTCTACAAGTTGTATACGAAGAAAATCTGTTGGAAGATCACCAAGCATTACCTAAATTGATAAAAAAAATGTTAATATCAGTTTGTAGAAAAAACAAAAAATTTAACAACTCGAGATCGATATTCGCTGAATTTCGGTAATATATTGCCATTAAGAGATGTTGTATGACTTGAAGAATCAACTGATGAAGCCATGAGATATCTATTTCCGACTATTAATTTAAGTATTTGCGAAGCAAACAGATCTGACTAAAAAAGAACATTAGTGATTGATTATATTATTTTAGATACTTTTCATTCTCGATCGAAATCTGCACAATAAAAAAACAAACTGTCTACGCATATATGCGGGAAAGTTTAATGTACCGAGCTGTGATAGACTTTGGAATTCAATATACCATTGGACAACAACAAAAACATTATTAATGATTGATAGATGTCGCATTTAGGATAAAATATTGAAATCAATTGATAGTCATAATATTTTTTTTTCAGATAAAAAATGAAAATGATTGTTTAAAAAAATTTTTCTTATTCCAAGTTTTACATAAATACTTTGGCTAGATCTATACTTCATCCGTTTAGTACGATTATTTTTTATTCACTTATGTATTCGAACTGATGGTACAAATTTTCAGCTGACAACATACATAGAAGCAAATGCATCATGATTGGTTCGGTTTTATTTTTATTAAACTAGAGAAAGGTTTCATATCCGTAGATAGAGAAAATTATTATTTTTGACTTTTATCGGAATAGACACAAGCAAAATTATTGAACACGTGTTAAGCTACATGCTTTGAAAAGAAAGAACGTAAAATAGTACTAGCTAACTTCTCTCACATTTCTCTTCCTGTATATTGTTATTTGAATAAAAATGTAGCAAAACATCATTTTCTCTTGTCCTTCAGACAAACAAGTCATGTGTAAATATCATTGCGGGATAATAATTTTTTTTTTATCCTATCAACATTATACTTATTGACAAGAAATCTATTATAGATGTTCAAGGATTTCATAAATAATAAAAAAAAAGATTGAAGTGTATAAAATACTTAATTAAAAAATATATAAAAGAATGAAAGAAAAAAACAAAAGGGGCACCCTATACTTGTTTGGGTGACTATGAATCTTTGTTCTTAAAGAACATTTTTTGAAACGAGCTGTTGACGATGTCAGTAGCAAACATGTTTTCATAATGTAGACGTTATTTCTCACTTTCCTGTAGAAAAGAAGAAGCACAATGACATTTTCACTGTTAAACTTCACTGTAAAAGTGTAAGACATCCAAACGTGACATGTCAACTGCCTATATAATATTTATTTTGTTGGAATGTCTGAAAGCGATCATCCATTGAAACATGACGTATCTAACTGGAACACTTGATGCGTCAGATTTTTAGAGGTATAAGATATCTCTACTAGGCATCTCATATGTCAACAGATGACTGATTTGAGACACTCTAACGGAGCAAAACAGACGAACTATCTCGTAAGACACATTGAATTTGTTTCAGCGCTCTATTGATTTAATATATCCATTGTGTTTGTTGAGAGGCATCGGTCTATGATGACCTTGTAAATCCAACTTAGACTAAAGAATTGTATCTAACTAAATCGTTTAACTCATTGCATGAACACAAACATTGATCCTAAAAACTCCTCTAGATATATGACACTCTCATAAAGTGCTTGTTTTTTATATTGATTCAATGAATCATCGGGCTAAAATTATTATCTATGAGAGAGTCTCATAATATTTTTGTTAATATGTTAATAAATTTTAAATATCGTTTTGACACAGAGCAGGAGTATATATGATACACTTTGATCCAATTTTCTAACAGTAAAGACTAGATCATCGAGAAAAGTATACGTCTGTAATCGTAAACTACAAACAATAAATCCGAGACAGAAAATGATGATAAAATGACTTGAAAGCTTATGAGATATTTATTTTTAGATATAATTAGACATAGGCAGATAAATAATTTAGAACATTATCTATAATTAGAATAAAAATATTTCTACGTATTTCTTAAATGAAAGAAAAACTTAGTCATTTAACAATTTTTTTATAACATAATTATGAAGAATTCACTTTGTAAAATCAATCGATGTTTTCAGCGTAATTCGTATATTCCTTTAAATACTTAAAAAATGAAATAAAATCATTCTTCTTATTTCACTGATCATATATTCTTCTATTAAACTAGTTAAGCAAAGTCATAATGAAAGCAAATGCTTTAGACTATTGATAAATCTTCTTTGATATTGTAAGAATAAAATTACACTCTAACATGCATTGCTAGGCTTTAAAGCATACTACTCATTACGGTCTCAATTAGAGATGTGAAGGACCAAATTTTTTTGAAATATGGTCGGGATAACCTTTTTATCCACTTGCTCCTATTCCTATGATTTTAGTTTTTCAAGTTCCGATCTAGAGAATACTGTGGCAAAGTTTATTTGAATGATATATAAAATAATTCTTCAATAGGTGTCTTTTTTTATTTATTTAGTCGACGCCAAGTGCTCTTTAAAATCATCACTCTTGAACTGACTTATGATTTATAAGATAATTTGCTTTGAATCATAGAATGTTTTACTATAAACTCGAGTTCCGGTGCCGTAAATTTTTTTTCCTGGTAGTCCCACTCATGTTTTTAGTCACAAGTCTATTCTATTCGCAGGAATATTGGTAATCATTTGAATGAACATCGAATAGTAATTATTTCATGAAGTTAAAACCGTCTGTTGAATAAAAAATATATTTGTTTTTTTATATGAGAAAAAGATAAATCGCTTATGAAAGAAAAAGACAAGAAAAAGCAAAAAATTGAAAGATGTAATGAAAGTTTATTGAATTTGTACGACGAATCATATATTTACTAATGCATGGTAAGAGCATGAAGAAAATATACTTCATTCCATAGGGAAGAAAAGGATTAAAGATATTCAGATTTGACTTATTTATGGCAATATTAACAAATAATGGAATTTTAATAAGATATGAATAAATGATTATTCATCATTATAATTCTTTCATCAATGAAAAATATTTTTAAAAAGAAATGTAATGAAATGGTATGAATAAGATAATATACAACATGGTAATACCAACGTGAAAGAAAAACCAGTTCAATAATCAAAGTGATATTATGAATAATTATATATTCAGGCATCTGAATACTCATAGATTATATTAGAATAGATCGATAGATTCATCATTGAATGCTTGAATAGTTTCGTACTTAAAAACTTTGTTGAATATATGAATACTTATATACTGACATAATGTCAATAAGTATGTGTGTATATTGGTCTAAATAATAGTATCTGTGGACTTTTGACAAGGTGAATAGATAATTTTGAAGTTTTTAGTATAAGATGAATGAAAGATACCAATTAATTGCATTATGCTCAAGGACATGTTTGTCACGATACATTTATTTTGCTACTTATGACTGATCATCACCGTTGATTGAAGCTTAACATATAAGCAATACAAGAATATTATACTCTGACAACAATTTTATGATTTGTTCTCATGTCATTTGCATGTTGCTTTTGAAATTGATTCGATTGTATCATAAGAGACATCTAGGCATCTATAAGATATTGACTATACGACTTGTTATGTCTTGACAATCTTAGAGATTTCTCTTAAGACTTACATATTAATATTCAATGCAATATTATTTAAGAAACAATTGACAGCATCATCAAGAAACTCATTTTATTTACATTACTAATAAGAAACATGAGGAAAAAAACTGTTTCTTTTTCAATGACGAAGATAGTATACTCAATGATCGTGATAGAAAAAGAAACTTTTTTTTATTCATTTTTTTTATAACATTGAAGACTTACTGATTCTAATGCTGAAAATAAGAAGTATAATTCTGTCTTTCTTTATTCATTTGACTGTCAATGTTTCATTTTTTTTCATAATGAAAAGAAAATTGCATTCATAATTCTTCATTCATTCTTTTTTTCCTCTGTTGAATAAGGGCAAAATATATATTTATTCGGTTCTGTTCGCTCCCTCTCTCTCGCAACTCAATGACAGCATATATAAAATTCTGCACTCAACTCACAGTGGACTCAATGAAAGAAATAAGGAAAAAAGTAGAACACATAGAAGAAGAATTCTTTTTAGTTGAAACAGAATTCTTGTCGTCGTCAGTAGAATAAGTGTCAGTCGATAGAGAACACAAACAAAAAGCTAAAAAGTAGAAGACAAAAAAGAAAATGGATGATGAAATCGCTCATACAACAGAACAATGGTTTCATTCAACATTTCTTGTTCTAAATGAATCTTATCAAATTGATTTACGTCGAATATTATCACCAAATACATTTGAATTAATACATATATTGAGTGATTTTTATATGTATGATTATGTTAGTCTATTTGTTCATTTACTCGGTTTAACATCACATTATTTAACATCAACATCTTTTGTTTATGCTGATAATCAACTAAGACATAAACTCAATCTTCATTTGTTACTAGTTGCTCGAACAGGTAAAAAAAAAGTGAAAATAGATATGTCTAAAGTCAGAAACAAAATTTGATCTTCATAAGATGATGTTTTTTGAGACTATTGTATTTACAACAATAACTTGAAAACAAAAGAAATAAGATCAACAGAGTGTCAACTATTACCTTCATTGTCTATAAAAAAAACAATCATGAAAGGATTTATATTACTTTTGTTTTTTATTATTATAATAATATATAAGTATGTTCTAAAAAAACTGGATTTGTCAGATAGTTAAATGAAAGACTAAAATAATATATTCAAGCTCTATAGCATAGAATATGATTTATAATGATAATTACTTTTTTAGCATTATAAATCTACTTCCTTCAAATGGAATAAAAATAATTAAAATTAAGAAAAAATGTAAAAAGTAATTATGGTGTAGATATGTAAACAATATTCATTGGTTTTTCTTCCTTTTTTTTTTGTCCTGTAAAAGATCTTCTCGACCTAGACAAGCTTTCAAAAGAAACTTCTATGAAAACTAAATTTTTTCATAAAATAACTTTGTCTAAATTCAATCATTTAGGTTATGAACGATCAACACTTGTTGAACATATTAGACAAGCAATGAATAATGTTCAATGTATTCGTCAAACAGGAAAACAATTTGATAATCGAAATGCATTTATTTCAAATATATTTTGTCGATCAGATGATTTAGCACAAACACCTATTGGTTTTTGTTTATCAGATAAATTTGATGAACATAAAACTAATATACATATTCAACGACAACAATCTTCTTCCATTATGGGTACAAGTAATGGATATTATGTTCAACAATTACTTAACATTAAATTTAATAATAAAAAAATTGTATTAAATAACAATCCAGATTGGTTAATGGTATTTATAGCAAGTAAAGCACGTCTATTTTGTCGACGATTGAGAGTATTTGATCCAAATCGATATCCATCACTTGAACAATGGATTATAGTAATTAATTGTCTTTGTTCAAGTTCAATTGATTTTCATTTTGATGAACCACAAGCAAATCAAGCTATGTGTGATTATCTCGATGGTCTTTCACTGAAAGGTATATATATATGATACAAATAATAACAATAAAATATTTATATTGATTTATTTACTTTTTTCAAAGCAACATCTTTTGAAGACAGTCATCCATGGATGGCATCACGATATTTATCTGCACAAGAACATGTTATACGTGTATCAGCATCATTACGTATTATTGAAATAGCTATTGAAACTTTAATTGCATATAAACGAACATTTCATACATTTGGCCAAGCAGATAAGATATTTTTTGATAATTGTATTCGAATTATTGAACAAACAAGAGGTTCAACAATAACAAAAAGAATTTATATTAATTTAACTACTGTTCAATCAGCAATTTATTTTGTGAATACTAGTATAAAACAATTTGAAATTATGTTTGAGCCAACATTAAGTACTGGAATGTCAAATCATGAGTATGTAATTTTGACTCTTTATCTAAAAATGAACTTGTGAGTAGATATTTACATAGATTAGAATTCCATTCTTTTTGACGACAGAATATGTACTATGGTATAATATATAATTTTTGAGAGTATAAAGTTTTTCTTGGATATCTTTTACAGAGTATTCTTCATTTGCAAATTAATCTTGATTCTTTTCTTTTGATTCATGATCACATAAGAGTCTGACTAATGCGTTACTTGTAACCATGCTATTAGTAAAGTAATAAGCTTAATTTTTAGAATAAAAATCTTAGTTAAATCTTTTGATAATTTTTATCCTAAAATAGACATGAGGCTCTATGTCAATTTGGCATAACCTAATCGTATTTATGTTTCTTGAGTATTTGAGATAACTAAAAGATGAAGACATATCAATGAATATATAAATACAGTCCTAGACAATAGTAGCTGCTCCTCATGAAGTTCTACTATTCTGTATGATATTGAACTGATATTTTGGATGCATACATGTGACGATAAATTCTGATTGCAAATACCACCCATATTTAATTGGTTCATATGTACTGAACTTATGATTCAGACAGTATCTTTCCCTTGTAATCACACTATTTTTACTATGTTGACAGAGATGTTTTCGTTCAAACCTTCATTCAAAATGTCATTGTCATAGTTATATCTAATTCGAATTTCGTTAGAAATCACTTTTAAATAACTAAGACATTGTATTCTCAATCAAAAATAGTCACAGTATTGAATAAAGTCACGTTAACGCTATGAGATGGTTCACTATCTCATTGCGTGTTGATCATTAAGATCTTGACTATGTGTTATGGGCTTTGGCGTATACCATGGTCTATTTAATGTTAATTAGAACTTGTAACAAATTGCTTTCGATTTCAAACTGAAAAGGAGGTCATTACATGCATCTCATATTATATTAATATATATCTTCTATTTTTAAGCAATGAAGGATCTATGAGAGTCTTTACACCTATTTCATACTATAGAGATAGATACTGATGCTAATATGTAATCATTATGAGATGTCCTGAAAGACCTCCGTAGATTCTCCACTGCTCAAAAAAAGAAGATGTTTATCTATATAGTATAAGATATAGTTAAGCATCGCACACCTTTGTAAATACGTGTCTCGTTAAGTATGTAGTAATCCGACAGTGTTTAAAATTAAAAATGAACATCGAATAAGAATCAGTAATTATTGCAAGAAATAAAGCTTTCGTCTAGTTCAGAAGTCCCGCTATCTATTATCATGGAGAGATTGAGTGTCTTTGTTAGATTTTCGCTGTTACTGAAAGACAAGTAGCTTCTCTTTCAAAATTCAGTTTTAGCAAAAAAAAATAGTCATATAGAATAGCCCTTAGAGCTAGACAAAAAGCAGTTGTAACTTCTGAAATAGCAAAATAGCAAACAAAATTTTGAGTGCATGCTATCGCTGAATACATTTTTCACAAGAGAAGAAACATGTGTAAAACATAGCTTCAATACATGCGCACCAATATATTACTACTTTATGCGAGACGATTACTTTTGTTCAGAGCTCTATTATTGTTTATTTTAGACTTTCATCATCTCTAAATCAACCATCAACTTGTGATTATCCATGGGTGATACAATCATCTTCACCATTTCCTCCTCAATCAATATCACCATCATCACCATCAAAACGTTTAAAAACAATGATCGATTCATCGTATTTAAAATCTTTAGAACTTGCACATGAGCTTTTACTTTTTCCTTTTGTTGCATTTACACGTACATCAGTTTATTCGAATTCAAAATTAAAACGTAATGCTGCATATCTTGATTGTGTTATTGAAGAATTAAAAAAATATCAACTTCTTATTATTGTACGACAAGGTGTACAAATGGTTGATGGCACACGACGACGTGTTGATCTTATTGTTAAATGTGCACCTATATTAAAAGACAATGAAACAAATAGTAATGAAATACGTGATAAAGATCTTATAGAACGTTTAAATCGTTTTGGTGTTGATTATGATCGTTACATTCAAACATTAGGCACACTTGATATAGGTGAAAAATATCGATTATCTGAACAATGTTTTGATTTATTGAATTCATCTGATTATAAACGATATCTAACAGTTGATCTTGATCGTATAGCACCATTAAATCGAGTACAACAACAACAGCAACAAGAAGAAACAAATGATTTATGGATTTCATCATCATCGTCATCACCTTCATCAAATATAAAACTGGAATCAACAGATTTTCATGTGTAAAAAAGAATGAAAAATTTTCTTTCTCAGATAAATATCTTTCTCTTTCTTTTTTTTTCTATTAAAATAAAAGAATATTCATTTATGTTGTTTTTTTATCTTCACACATTATTTGAATATTAAGTCTTTGAGAATGAACAGATTTAATTTGTTTTAATGATAATAAACAATTATCAATTAATTTAAATTGTTCATAAAATGTTTCTTCAACTTCAAATTTATTATTTTCATAATGACATAAACGTATTTGTAGTTTCCAACGAATTGAATCGTTATCATCATCATTATCATCATTTTCTGTTGATATTGTTAATGGATTAATAGGAGTTTGACGCATTAATTCAATAAGACATGTGGAAAAGATAGAATCAAGTTCAGCAAGTAAATAATTTCCATTTGTATGAATTATATTTGATGAATGATTAACAATTGGATGTAATTCAATAATATATCGACGAAGAATTTCATTTTCATTATTTGTTGTAATAACAAAACCTATTTGATCAATTAATTGTTTACGAAGTAAAGGTTTTATTTGATTAAGAAAATCTGATATATAATTTTGTACTTCAATATCATGACATTCATAAACAATTAAATTATATTTCGAACGTTTTTCAAATATATCTATATGAAATAAAAAAAAAAAAGAAAGATATTAAATAGAGAAGATATAATTATGTATTTATTTATCGCACCATTGGAATAAATTTGTTCAATGTAGAGAATAAAATTAATAGCAATATCAAGAAATTCTATACAACGATTGGTTACTTCATCACGAAGATGTTTTTCTACTACACGCATATCTAAAAACAAGACAATTATTAGAAGAATTATTCAAAGCAACCTAAGTATTATGTAATGTTAGCATATAAACTGAACAGTGAATCAATAACTGTCGCATTCGCTACAATATTGAAACCCTGATTTTATTCAAACATGCCTACTTTTAGCGGTATATTCTAATGAACATGACTGCCCGTTTAGTTAGTGGGTATTAACTATAGGAAGTCAATCGTGAATAAACTGAAATTGTACATCTCTAAATCAACCTGATTTGGTGTTCATATTAATCTGAGTGAACAAAAAGTGTATACTCATGTTTTTATTACAAAACGCAGTATTTATTAACATAATAAATCTAATATAGTATAATGTCTCTATAGGGTACATCCTTTTTATTTTTCAAGTGTCCACTATAGAAAGCTTTATTTCCAATAGAAATTACTTCGTTGAATCGTGAAGTGTTCATTAAAGGGGATTTCACTACTTCATTATGAATATGACTAGTATTTTATCCAGATTTTCTTTTGTAGAAGGTATACATCTATTTTTGGCAAACATAGACATGTAGCATAAGAACTATTAAGTTCGAGAAGGTCAAGAAAAGCAGCAGAGCTCCAGAGTATGACCTCGATCTGATGAGTCTATTCGTATGTGTTCATGCAGGAGGGTACGGGGAAAATTTTAGGAAAATTATTGTCAATATGAAAACTTTGAAGCCTTGACTCATTTGATGATAAGTTGTCTCTGAAAGGACAAAGTATCACAATGATTAAGAATTATTCGATGATCCGTGAGACTAATTAATTTTTTTACATAGTATTGTTTAATGTGCATAGCATTAGCTTCGGCTAATACTCGGTTTATTTTTGAAAAGTAACACGAAAGAAAACTTAAGTATCACAATCATCGAACCCACTCTCTTCTCTTTTTTTAACAAGATGCCTTCAACAACCAACACTTTTACATGCTTTAAATAAGATTATATTAATGGTTTCCATGAGACGATTTAATTACAGTGTTGCATGAATATACAATTAACATATGGTCATTTTAACTTAGGACAATCTGCTACATTTAATATTAGTTGTCTTTGAACAGCTTGTAGCTGATATGTTTCTAAAATTTAATATGCCCTTCATCATCACTAATAGCTTTGTTTCTTTCCCGGGGCTTTTAAATATAAATAACTAAAAAATTATTCATGTTGTTTTGACTATGGGAAAAAATTTATCATTTTAGCTGCAGATTCTGCACCTTTGGTGACCGTTCCATTTGGAAAATGTCAGTTTGTCTCCAGTAGAGTTCATTGTTTTATTCTTCTTTTTTTTAGCTTATTTATCCTCAAAGAAAAAACACTCTATTACCCCAATCATAATATCCTTAGGATACTCTTGACTCCCTTAGCATGACAATCTGCTCTCATTACTGATACTTATCTACGCCGAAAAGATTTTTTAGTTGTATTGAATACGTTGAGAAAAACTCATTTCTTTAATCTATTTTACAGATTCCTATTAACAGCAATTCATAAATGTAGATTCAATAAGACATTATCTCTTGAATTCATATGATAAGTATACTCAGCATATGGTTAACATAACATGATTTTGCAAACTCGCATAGTTAATGTTTTCCTAATATTGAAATAGACATATTATCTAAATGAAAAAATATATTTAGATAGTATTTTGTTTAGTACTCTGTAAAAGCTCGTTTATTACTAAAAAAATAGAATAGATATATAGACACTACACCATTGTCTATAAAACTATTTCTAGCGTTTTAATAGATGAAATATTGTAAAACAATGCCAATTAAGTAAGGAGTTTAGCGCTGGATTTAATATCGACAAAGAAAAATCAAAAAAAAACAGATCTTTGTACAAAATTAAAAACAAAAGTTCAGTTTTTTTTATATCTTTAATTAATATCATTGATAATCAATTTAATTTTTGTTTTTATCTTTCTTTGTATTATAATCATTAATTGCTGCTTTGATTGCATCTTCAGCAAGCACTAAATAAAAAAACATAAACATTACCATTAAAGAAACTATCAACAAAGAGTCTGCTTACTTGAACAGTGAAGTTTAACCGGTGGTAAACATAATTCTTTTGCAATATCTTGATTTTTTATTGAATGTGCTTCATTCACTGATTTACCTTTAATCCATTCTGTTGCTAATGAAGATGAAGCAATAGCTGAACCACAACCAAATGTTTTAAATCTTGCATCAGTTATTTTTCCATTCTCATCCACTTTAATCTATTACACATAACAGATCAAAAAAGAAAACAATAGATCGAATGAGTGAAATCGAATATAAAAAAGAACACTCTCACCTGTAATTTCATAACATCACCACAAGCTGGTGCTCCAACAAGTCCAGTACCAACATTTGTATCGGATTTATCAAATGAACCAACATTACGTGGATTTTCATAATGATCAATGACTTTTTCATGATAATTACGTGTTAACGCGTATCGTACGTCCATACCAGCAGATATTAATGGACGTATTTTTGTATAAACTTTATTTGAAAGATTATATGCAGCCATTTGAAAATTTTAATAGACGCCTTTTATTCTAAAAAATAACAAGTTATCAGAAAAATGAATTTTTTCAATACTGACTAATCGACAAACTATATTCATGCTTCACAGGTCAAGATATTTGGACTGTTTTCAGTCGCAAAACTCACGAAAATAGTGGGAATTTGGAATCAACAATCCTTTGACCGACTCTGCTAAGAAATAGAGAAATCTGGCCTCGAGATTCCTGTTTCCAAGTTTTTCTACCGGAAATAGTGTTTTTCCAATGGGAACCTACTGGGAATTCACGAATTCCGGTTCTTCATTACATTAAAATCTGATGAAAAATAAAAACTACTGAGAAAAAGAGAACAAAAGTGGTTATTATGTGATTCTTTACTAAAATAAACAAACACTATACGATAGACATAACAGAAAACTACTAAGCTAGAAATAATAATAAATAAAGAGTGCATAAATGGCCAAAGACTTAAAAATTAACATAGAGATGTTTATAAAATCATCGATCCTGGGTTTTCAAGAAATTGTTTAAATTCTTGTAACCATTGTGCACCAACGGCACCATCAATAACACGATGATCGCATGATAATGTTATATTAAGCATAGATGATTGACGAAAACTATTGAAAAAGAAAAAAAAAATGATAATAACCGATTGAAGTTCTACAATAGAAAAACCTTTCTGGATTTTTCTTCCTCAATCGAGATCTCCTTAGGGACTCCATATGAGCTCAAACAGCATGCATCAATACAGATAGTTTCCTGATTAGTTTATTGTTGCGTAAATACTGCATTTTTATGGTATTTTTAAGATGAATACCGTAGTATAGAAAAACTGATTTTTGACTTCAAACGTTGCCCTTAATAAACATTTTTCAGACGTTGTCGCTGTTCTAATCCTACGATACAAATATGTTTATGACGTATTTTTTGACGTCGATCATAAAACCTGGCAGATTTGATGTTCTTATTTTCAGAATAGCAATAAATCAAATGATCAACAAAATTTCACAATAAACTACTCTCGTTAAAACTTGTCTCTATGTAAAGTTTCAAATCGAAATTCAAAAATTAATTTTTCTGTTACAATGGTATTCATTTAAAAAATATCCTCAAAGTGTAGTACCTCCGTAGCAATAAAACAATTTAACTGTTGGAGAAATTCCTTCATAGGTAACATTTAAAAAAAAATGAATACTTACCCTTTTGGAGAATCTTGAGCTGGTATAATTTTCGTTTCAATACCACCAATAGCCAAAACGGCCGACTAAAAAAGTGAAGAAATAAATAAGTGTTTTTTTTTTTAAATAAATTTAAAAGTTTACTTGTTGAGGATGAATAACAGCACTAAAATTAGTTATACCATACATTCCTAAATTAGAGATTGTGAATGTTCCCATCTAAAATTTACATCATATAATATTTATAGAAAATTTAAAATATTTTACTTACTTCAACTTCATTTTCACTTAATTTTCCATCATTTGCTTTTTTACTTAATTCTGATAATTCTTGATTAATTGCCGAAAGACCCTAAATCAAACAAAAATATATTTATTATTGTATATAAAGATAATTTCATTTGTTAGCGACATCATTTTGGAAAATTGAAATTTGTATATCCCTGGATTTGGAATCTTTCTAGAGTTAATTCTCATATATTATATACATATTTAGTTGCTTTCGGTGCCCATCCCCCCCCCCCCCCCCACCTCCCCAAAAAAATCAGTTGTATGATCTTTTATTGAGCCAAGTTATCATTCAGAAGTAACGTTAGTGACGTGACCCCAAAAAAAGTATATCAATCTTCACTGCGTGCAATTTAACTTAAGACAAAGAAACTGTAAATTAATGAAGCATTTTAAAAAACTAAATATTAATTTCTGTAGATGACTACTTATGCTACAAAATTTTTATCAAAAGATTTTTTTCTGCGTTGGCTTAGATTTTTCAAAAAAACTCGATATAATTTTTGTTAGTGAGGTAAAAAATGTGTGAATGCAGAAACGGTATAAATTCTTTTTGTTCCAAAATCTTCAGATAACAGCAATAGAAATGTTTTTCTTTTAGCACATGATTGGTTATGTCGGCAGTGATTTTTCAAGAGGAAATGTGATGAAATTCAAGCTTGTTGAAGATTTTACTATAGATGTATTTCATAGAGTAAGATCTATTCTGAAATCCTTAGATTTTTCTCTTATAATCTTAATTAAATGTTTCCTGAAACAGCGATCATTTTTTGCATATATTTATTCCAAAAGATTCTGCTCCGGGAAGTGACTTTTGTGACGCATGAAAATCAAATGAAAAATAGTTATGTTCGATTTTCTCTAAAACTGTTCATATATATGTATACAAAGTTACCTTTTGATCAACATTATATATAATAGGTGTTACAAGAACGCCAGCATCTGTATTTATGGCTACATTAATATCTACTGTTTCGTATCTAATAGATATATTTAAAAAATAATAAATACATTAAGAACAAACTAAAGAATTTTACTGTCGAATAGTTTTTTCCATCCAAATGCTGTTTGTTTCAGGTCGTTTTTTACATGCAAGTGCTGCTGCTTTTATAATAAAATCATTTATTGTAATACCACGTGATTTGTCTTTAGGATCTTTTGATTTCGGTGTTAACATAGAATTAAGTTTTTCACGTAATCTAAGATATGATTGAATAGAGACAAAATAAATTTTAAATACGAACATACTTAAGAATTTCATTTAAATCAACGTCAATAGTTAAATAATAATGAGGTATTGTACTCTTGGATTCAACTACACGACGAGCATATTCCTATAAAATAAAAAAATAAAAGAAAGTTTCTATTAAACTTTAAAAACAAGGAAATATGATTAAAAAACAGAAATTAGATCAGATCATGTTTTTTTTTGAAACGACATTGAAAATAATTTAGGTCCGATTGGTCTCAAACTTTCATCACCTATATTGCTATAGGTGATGTACCAGTGGGCACGGTAGTGAATCGTGTCGATAAACAGAAACGGTGCTCCTGGTTTCCAAAAGAACGAAGGGTCCTTAGTTTTACAGATAGAAAGACATTTTTTTGAGCAAAATCAAAGTAATATTCGAAATCATTTTGCTGAGCTATATTGAATCATATATAATAGCATGTATGTCTTTAAAAAAAAAAGTTGCTTTTCTTCTCCGACAAAGTTCTGAAAATCAGTTTTTCTCTATTTTGTAAACACGCAAATCAATTCATGATTAACTGTTCTGAAACATTCACGAATTATTATATTACGTCGCGTTCATTGTTAATCATACACCCATACAGTATTGAAGAGTACGGCCGAATATAGGAGTTTTGCAAAAACCAAGGTTTTTGTTCTCGAGTCTCAATTTTTGAAAATAGGGCATACTTTGAAAAAAGATCTTGACTTCTACGATTTTGTAAACGTTATACTCAGCTAAAGGTCAATAGAACCTAAACTTCTAGTAAATGTCTCTTCACTTGAGACCTTGTGTAAAATATAGCCATACAACGTGCTCCTAGTTATTAGTTTCGAAAAACATCCGGTTTTTTTTTTACCCTTCTATCTCTTGTTTGTCATTAAAATAATATGACAATATTACATAAATAGTACTTTCGATTAATATACATTTTTCTACGTTACTTACAGCTTGTAATTCCGATACTTGTTGTTCATCATAATCTCCAGCACGTGCTGCTGTTTCTTTTTTAGCTGCTTTCGCTGGTGCTGCTTGTTTATCTTTATCTTTTTTGGCAACCACTTTAGCACCACCTTCTTTAACAAATTTTTCAACATCTTCGCCAGTAACTCGACCATTAGGACCTGTACCTTGAACTAACTAAATGATATATCATATAATATGTTAGATCAATGTAAAATCGAACAAGTATAAATATCTTTACTTCTAAGTCGATGCCCTTTTCTTCAGCAAGTTTTCGAGCAAAAGGTGATGCAAAAACTCGATCATCTTTTTTAGAACTACTAGTTGCTGTTTTTGTAGTTGGTACAGTTTGTTTTTCTGTTTTACTTGTAGAATCACTTGTTTTCGATGGTTCTTTTTCTTTCTTTTCAGATTTTTTTACTGTAGCAGCTTGTTCATCTGAAGATTTCTTTTCTACTACGGCACCAGTATCGTCACCTTTATAATCTTTAAATGCAGCTATATCTTCTTGTTTTTCCACAATAATAGCACATAGCTAAATATTGAAAAATTATTAATTATTTAAATAAGAAAAAAGATCAAGTAAATATTTGTTTTATGTCTTACTTTTCCAACAGGTACATCTTTACTACCAGCAGGTATGAGAATTTTTGCAAGATATCCTTCATCAATAGTTTCAAATCCTAGTGTTGCTTTATCAGTTTCAATTTCAGCCAATATATCACCTAAAGAAAATAAATAAGATATATTTTAAAATGAAAATCTATGATAGAATAATGATATGACTGTTTTAAGTACCTTCAGAAATTTTATCTCCTTCTTGTTTTGCCCATGATCGTAATGTACCCGATTCCATAGTAGGTGATAATGCTGGTAGAGCAATTTTTTTATGCGTTGGTAAACTGTCAGATGAAGCATATCGAACAGATTGACTTTGTCGAATAGTAGTTATACCATTTCGAGATAGTGATAATAACCGAGCATTCATACATAATGAACGATTCGAATCGACTAGAAATAATGGTGAACTAGAATAATAAAAAAAAAAAAAGTAACAATGATAATATTGCTTTTTTTCTATTCCAATATTCTGTAATAACATACTGATTGAGATTCAAATTTGTTCTATGAATATTTGTTGAATTCAATATTGTAATACATCGTCTCAATGAATAATTTATTTTCCAAGTTGATGAAAAACGTTGTGCAGTAATGAACAAACGATTACTCTGCATTTAGCTGTTTCCTTTTTACATAAATATCCAAGAGACCGGAAAAAAAAATGACACAAGAAAATCTAAAACAACATAGAAATGTTATTCTTATATAGAAGATTCGATAATGAAACAAAGAAAAAAAACAAAACAATATATAAAATATATTTAAGGTCGTGGATTTGCGGGTTTATAATGTGATATTAAATTTCCATTTGTTGTACCACGTAGTTGTTCAGTTTTTTTATCTGTTTTAACCATAGATTTTGAAACAACACCTTTCCATGTTCGACTAGTTAACTAGAAAGAATAAATATGCAAAAAAAAAGATAGATGAAAGAAAAAAAAACAAAAACAATAAAGATCATAATATTACTTTAGAATTAAAATCAGTCCATCGTTTTTTATCTTTTTCACGTTCTTCTTCAAATTCTTTTAATTTTGCTATTTTCTTTTCTTTTTTTCGACGTTTAAGTTCACGTAAACGTTGTTCTAACTCACGTCTAGTATAAACAATCAAATAAATTCTTGGTTCTTGTTTTATACAATTTCTTACTTTGTTTTAGCTCGATTAGTAGCCGATTTGAATGCATTAAAATCGGCACGTGTTCGATCAAATGGTCTTAATTTCGATGCCTACATAAAAAACAAAAACAACAAAATCGATTCTTTTTTTTTCGTTATTATTAACTTACTCGAACAACAGTTAATGATACTGATTCAAATCCATCAAAAACAATTGTACATGTACCATCATCAAGTACATCATCAATTGTACATTCATAATATCTAAATTGAAATGATTATATTTTCTATCATGAATGAACTAAAAGTAGTTTGATAAAATATTCATTCAGTTTTCAATCTCTTAAATAAGCTTGCAGAAATTTGAAACCAAAAAAATTTTTTGCTCTTTCATTCTATATATTTGAAATAATTTTTCGTTCTAATTCGAGTAATTTTTAATGCATTGAATACCAACCAAATTTAATTTGCACGCCTCGCTAATATCGACTTATAACTCATCAAAATAAAGTTCTAGAAAAATGCAGAACAATATAAAATTCTGATTCTAACTTAATACTAAAAAAAAATTTCTACAGATTTCTTTAAGAAACTGAAAAATGAATGAACATTTTATCAAATTACTTTTCGATCACCTATTATCAGCATCGTCTTGAAGTTCATATAAAATTTAGACTGAAGAAATTATGTTCCATCGGAAAACTAATTATTGTACTAACTATTCGTTAATTTTCAACGATGAATCTATAAGTATGATTGCATAAGATTAAATGATTTCGAATTTTAAATTAGAAAATTTTCTCTAGAACGAATTTTTTCATAGTCCTAATTGAAGATCTCATTTGTTAATTTCATACGATTGACTAAAAAATTATATAGATAAAAATTAAACTATTCTTCAATCGTTTAACGTACTTTCCATCTTCATTCCATGGTGCTAAACAACGATCACCTGTTTTCCATTTAATAGCTGCACGTGTTGATAATGATGACGATACTTGATTGTTTGATTGTGATGAAGCTGAATTATATGTTGCTTCATTAGAATATAAGGATGATGATGTTGGATCATTAGAATTTAATATTGATAGATCACAACCAAGTAAATCAGCAGTTAATTTAATAACTTCTTCAAGATCTTCTTTAAGTTTAAGTAATTCTGGATCATTTGGATTAGCTTTCAATGCTAATTCTACCTTTACAAAAATAAACATATTAAATGGTAAATTTAAGAAAAAAAAAACAATAAAGAATATTTACTTGTTCCAATTGATATTTATATGCTGGTAAATTTAAATCGCCTGTATCCATCTGTTAGTAAATTATTTTACTTAAGACGTAATAACTTGATATAGATTCTACGAATGATTTTTGATTGGTGTATTTTTTTTGTTTATATCGTTTTTTGTTTCTAACAAGCAAAAAAGAAAAATTTCTTCATTTATGATAAAATCTGGATCTTTTCTCATCTAATTACAAAAAAGAAAAAAGAAAAGCAACAGCGTCATCTACTTCTAGTATGGATATGCGTTTGTTTTTTTTTTCTATGCACTCAACACATGAAATGAGTCATTTCTATGGAAGATGTCTCCCATCGTTTCAAATTTTTAAAATGGACGAAATGTTTTATTCATATAAATTTTCTTTTAAAGTGTTTTCTTTCTAATAGTATTGAAGAGTTTTTTTTCAAAAAAAATGTTCATAATGGAAATTTAACTTGTGGCTCCTCCCTACAAATAAGCATTTATATGAGTCATTGACAAAAAAAAAAAAAAAAACACAACAACAGCTCACTGTTTCAAAAAACGACTAGTATCGGCTGATAATTAGCAAAAGTTTATTTACAAAATCTAGTGAGTCATACATTATTTTATCAGTGTAATGATATTAAGTCAGTATTTCAATACAATCGATGACTTGACAAGCTTTTTTTTCTTTTTTTGCTTTTGGCTTCCTAATATTTCAAGGAAAAAAAATGTACTGAATAATTTTTAGGAGGAAAATAATGTACAATTCAACCGATGACGAATTATTGCAAGTGAGAATATAATAATGAAATACTTCAAGAGTGACTCATTGCATAAATTATACAAGCATTGACGGTTTTCTGCTTATCTCAGTTGCTTCGTTTTTTTTTTGTCAGCTTGCTTCCTTTTTATTATTTTATGGTGTGTTTTTTTCTCTTTTCATCTTGATATATACTCAAACGTAGAATATGATTGACTAACAATAAAATAATTACTGATAGTTTTCAGTTAGTTTTTATTTCTTCTATTCTAGATCGACGATTGTATTGATACCTGGTCAACAAGAAGTAAAGAAAAATTATTTTTGTTTTTCTAATTTTTATTTTTCTATTTAATTAAGTGGCAAGTGCAAGCGATTTTCAACGTTTACACAATGCTCTATCAACTAATCTAAAAAAGATTAGTGATAATGGTTTGTTGAATAGATCATTGTTTATATTTATTTATTATTTATTTTATAGTTACGGATCTTGAAAAACTTGTCCAAAAATTAGGTACACCAGAAGATAGTGAACCATTACGTGAACGCTAGTATGTCAAATGAATAATTATATTTAAATGCAAACTTGGTTTTTGTTTTAGTCATCGTCTTCAAAATGAAACAAAAAATATAATGCAACAAACAAATGATGCACTTCAAGAACTTAATAATACTCGTGTATTAACAGAAGCTGATCAGGTTTGATTAAAACAAATTTAAAACAACTTTTTGTTTAACAAAAACAAAACAATTTTTTTTTAGAGACGTAAAAAAACGTTAACTGACTCTTTACCAAAACAATATTTAGCAACGTTAAATCGTTTTCAAGAAGCACAACGTCTTGGTGCACGAAAAGAAAAAGAAAGTCTTGATCGTGCACGAGCTATCTCATTTCATCAACATGGAATATCAGATTCACCATTCGGTGATGATTTTGTTTCTGGTCCAACACATGATCAATTTCAAAGACAAGCTGTTTTACCTATTGAACAAGAAGTCGATATGAGAGCATTAAGAGAACGTGATGAACAATTACGTGAACTTGAGGTAAAAGAAATTGAATATTTTAAAATGAAAAGTGGTTAAAAACTATGCTATACATACAAAGTCAATTGTATTTATGTTAAAAGAGCATCAGAATTTCGTATGAGATGAATCTTTCATGTAATTACAATTTTTTATTTGAGTGTTCAATCTGTTGTCTGTTAAATCTTTAATTTCTTCCGTTGACACAAAAGCTGTTAGCGAAATCCGTGAGAGATTGAAATGTGAAACACAATGTAGCTGCTCTTGTGAATCACACGAAAATTGTTTTATTCTATTGGTCTTGAGATATACTTTTCTGTTCCTTTTTATTCATCCTTTCAGCAATAGAATAAGGAAATAGTAAGTATAGTGTAAAAAGTCGCGGTCGACATACAGTCTGGCATCGTATATTAATAGCATTAGTTATAACATGAAGAAAGAATGAAAATTTCTATGCTATTTACTTCAATATAACTTTTAGATCGTTTTCATTGATAATAGTCCTTTTTTGGTCAAATCTTCATTAGATATCTTATTAAATGAGTCAATCGTCTGATTCCAATCTTTTTGAAATTCTATATAACAATTAAAAAGAATTTGTTGAAATAATTGTTTTCATCATTTAGACGAACATTGTTGAAGTTAATGAATTATTTAAAGATGTTGCTAAACTTGTCCATGATCAAGGCGCTGTTATAGGTAAGTTGATTTACTTTAAACAAAAGAAAGATAGATATGACAAGAATGGAGAACTTAAAAGAATAAAAAAAAGAAAAAAATTTTAAGATACTATTCAGAATCATGTTGAAACATCTGCCGAACAAACACAGCAGGCCACTCAACATATTACAAAGGCTGTTGTTTATCAGGTGTTTAATTATTTTAAATTGCTGCTGCTAATTGCTTCAATTTTTTGACATATACTGATCAACTTCATTAATTAAGATTTTGTTTTCTGCAAGAATTATAAAGAGAAAAAAAAAGCCATAATAATTAATTCAATAATAATGCATGTAAACTAAAACTTCGCTGCATTTTTCTAGACTCTATTGATGAACATATAATCAATACGGAAGTAAATGTAACACATGGCAATCAACATTTAACAAAAGCTATGACTTATCAGGTTGATTATTTTTTTCTTTTTTATTTAACAAAAAATTTTAATTTATGTTTTGCATTTAAAAAATATTTATTTTGTTTTTTTTTGCAATGTCAAGACTTCTGCTCGACGTAAAAAGATCATATTAGTTACAATTTTGCTCATTGTTATTGCCATTATTATACTTGTTTTGGTTTTAACACTGAAAAAGTGATACTCAGATAGGTTTGTATTATACGTAAATTCATGTATTCAAAGTATTTCATGGTTTTTTTTTTGTTTAGAGACATCGCACTCATATGCACTTAAAATGTTTTATGTGTGTTATAATATCAACTATTTTATTCTTCCTTATTATTATTAATATTTGAAATACAAACAGAAGTTATTTTGTTCTTTTTTTTTTCCACACACATACATATATATATATATACATATTTATTTCATTTTATGCAGTGCAATTGTCTCAAAAATAAATAAAAATTAACAGTTTTTTCTTTTCTTCGATATGACAGACTTTATGTTGTATTCGGCTTCAGTACTTATCATTTTTTTTTTCTTTGGTTTTTTTTTTTTTTTGTAATTTCTGTTCGGTATCACTGCGTCTCCTTTTTATTTCCACATATAATATGGCAAATTATTGCTTGTTTATTTATGTCTGAATATTGTCATTGTCAAGGTTGAATAAGAAAAAAAAAAGGTGAAGAAAACCAACAATAATATTGAAAGTAATGCGAAACATTCATTATATTTGATTCATCTTCAGTGTGCGATATTTTTTTTTTCTTAAATAAAACAAAAGAAAAGACGCAAACATGTTGTTACGACTTTGGCAGAATTTGCAATCACTTGAAAAAACACTTACCGATCATGATGAATACAGAATGTATTCAACGATTATTGCAGAGGGTGTGTAGAAATTTTTATTTAATGATGTTTTAATTTCTATACGATTTTTAAAAATGAAATTTTAACTAAATTGACTAGATGCAAGCTTTGAAGAACAGAGATTCTACAGGATACGCCGTGACAAGGATAGAAATTCTACAAAGTAGAATAAGGATTGGAAATACTTTTCTTAGTCAAGAGACATGGTCTGAATAAAACTTATCTTGTACATCTCTAATGTTAAACTTGTTAAGTTACTTTTAATGAGATTGGAAGCAGGAAAACAAGAGCAATTTTCGCTTTCGGCTACTTTGTGGTATGAGAGGCTAAGTAGCAGTAGACTCGATAGTTCGATATCTTCCATACAATTATAACTAGCTGCAGCTTCGGACACAAGGTCAGCCTGACGCAGAGTTCTTGCGTTTAATCATTTGAGCTTTCTATGCACGCTAACTAACCCCAAGAACATGTGTACGTCACAATATAATCAGTATGCTATGAGACGAGTGATCTAAGATGAACAGTGATTAATGACTTATCTCGAGCCATTTCATGGCTAATGGTACCCACTTCTGAAGACAGTATGTTGTAGATACATGTCGAACTACTTAACCACCCAGTCATAACGACTTTGATAAGAATGGCAATTGAAATATTGAAAAGAAATTCTTCTTACTCTCAATTTGACCGATATGGTATGCTACACTTGTGTAAATTCTTTGTTTTTTTGAATTTTTCCGGTCAATATATATCATTGATTATACAAATAAAAGAAAAAAATCGTAGGATAATAATATAAAGAAAAACGATATCTTTCGAGATTTGACCATTTTTTCTATATATTAAAATTAGGACTTAATTTTGCAATGATAGAACCAAATAGCAATGATAATCTAGATCAATCCATTCTTGATATTGATAAAGTAAGAATATTACCTATGTCACATAAATATAATCGATCAAGTATACATGCTGGTCTACTTATTTATTCTGTTGATGGTGAAACAGATTTTATTTTAAATGATCCAATATTTCGTATTAAAACAGGTGATATACTTATACATCAAATTCATCATGTGTTTTCTGGACCAAATGAAATCGATGTTTATCGTGATTTAATAAGAACATTATTTGGTACACATCGTATAAATCTTATCGGTTTAGTATTTACATTTAGTGGTAATGGACAATTTACTAATTGTATGAGATGGGGACCAATGCCACTTCAACATACAACACCAATACATGTAATTGAACAAAAATTACTTGAAATGGTACTTGTTACACTTTATATAAATCATGCATGGTTATCAATGCCAATTGCATCACATATTGATATGGAAACATTATCTGAATCAAGTAAAAAACAATATCTTTTAAAATTAGCTGAAATAGAAAAATTATTTCATAAACGACGACAACAACGAGAAAAACATCGTTATTTACAATTACCAACCTTGTTAAAATTAATTCATTGTCATTCATCAGATAGTTTTCGATCATTTCAATGGACACCAAATAGACAACAAGTGTTTGATGATACAATACAAAGTTTACTTGATGAATTCTATAATCTTATTTTACAAACATTTGAAGAAGGAGAATTCGATAGTGATAAATATACTTATTATGATGATAGCACACAATGATTATTTCCAAATTTAGCTCATCATTATACACCAGTAACAACTACATCAAATGATCCTTGGTTATAGCAATAATATTTCTAAAAACAATAAATAACTCATTACATGTACATATATACATTTTTTAATTATGCTATTGAAGGTTTAAGTAATGAAAAAAAGAGAACATAGCTTTTTTTTGCAAAGCATACTATTCTTTTTTTCTTGTGAAATAAATTTTCAAAAAATATTATGGAAGATGTTTGGTATGAATATCTTAAAAAAGTTCGTTGCCTTAAAGATTGTATGGAAGATGAATATTATTACATAAATTATTACAGAATATGAGTATTTAATCAGAGTTAAGAAAGATGAATGTAACGTCGCTGTTATGTGAAATATAAGTTTTCGACTACTCAACCATCAGTGATTTATATCTGATGTTCGACAATTTGCAACTTTTAAATGATTTTAGTGCATGATAAAAGTGGTTCATTAAGTAATAGTAATTATACTATTCATCAGTAGCCAATAATATTTCAGAGATAGTTTATGAGAGAATCGAGGTACTAGTCAAATTTCTAATTGTTGACTTTTTTGTACATATGAAAGGTCATCATCTAAAACTGCCACATTCTAATTTTTAGCTGATTTAGATGTTCTAGATTGATGTTAATCGAGATCGACTTTTTTATCACTAACTATCTTTTATTCGAAAAATTAGTGATAAATTGTCTTATAAATATCTACTGGAATTATACTTCAACATATTAGAAAATATTTTCATGCAATATATTAAAAGATTGAGTATGAAAAAGTAACACTTTACGAGTATTTCATGATCCATGATTGACAGTATATTTAATGCCAAGTTTTTTAAATCAAGAGGAGCCTAACTAAGTTTTTTATATGCTATGTAATTGTGTATTTTCTACA